ATGGAGGTACACAGGGTGGGGGAGGATTGTGAGCTGAGTTTTGGAAGAGTGAAGGGGAACAAAAGAGGGGCAACTGAGTGGAAGAAAGAGAAGTTAGATTGAGTGTTGAGAATATACTTAAGCCCTTTGACCTTTTTCTCATGGGACTGGGTAAATATTTTAACTGATTTAAAAAATATATATAATACACATATATAATACATGTATTATATATATACATATGTATTATATATATATATATATATACACACATATATTTTTTGGGAGGGGGTGTTTCTTTTGGCTGCGTCACGTGGCTTGTGGGATCTTAATTCCCTGACCAGGGGTCAAACCCGGGCCCACTGCAGTGCCACTGCCGAGTCTTAACCACTGGACCGCCAGGGAATTCCCTAAATTATATTTTTATACAGGAGTGCTGCTTCTTCTGCTGTGTTTCGTGCTTACTCTGAACCTCGTAGGGCGTCCCTATTCATGTCAAAGATGAATGCCTTCCTTACGAATGAATGTTTTCTATGGAGAAATGACGTAGGCTTACCTTATTTCAATGCCTTTTGCCACTCTCTTGGCACTAGGTGAGCTCCATCAATGCACATACGTTCCTTATGATGAAAGGTGTAGCTGAGGATGCCCCTGTTTTGGAAGAAGGCAATTTGGTTCGAGTCTGTCCTGGGAATTGGGGTCTTGTCTTCATGTCTGGCCAAGGGGGATCTTCTGGAGCTTCTGCCCAGACCCCTCTGGAAGCTTTGCCTGCAGTTATTTAGGCATGTTGTGAGCTGAAGCCTCAACTCTGTAAAGCCTCTGAGATTCTATTTCTCCTCAGGACAGGTAAAGCCTCCTGCCCCAGAGCCTACGGTGGCCTCAAGCCCCTGGTGCAGCCACAAGGCTGATACCCCAGGGTCTCTAACTAAAATGTCTGGAGGGCCTTAGGAGCCTCATTTAACTTGTTTATCCTTAGTGCAGAGGCTCCTCGCATAACACTGGCATCTTTCGAGAAGGAATACATTGGCAGTCAGCCTGGAAGCTGCAATCCCTATGGGAAAGGAAGGCATGGACTCCAGAAGGCCTCTGTTAGCAGTGGACATGTGGGGGCCAGGCAAGCAGAGCTATTAACCATCTGCATCCAATGACTGCAGAATTCTGAGGAAATGGCTTGGGTACTGCCCCGAACATCTGGTACTGCACTATCCCCTACTGCGAAGGCACTTGGGGGAAGAGGTGAAGAGAGAGGAGTTTCTTTTTCAAAGTCCTCACTTGTAGGACCCTGTCCTTTTGCCTTTACTCTCTGTGGTGCCTCTGACAAACTGTACCGTTGTCCCTCGGTATCCACGGGGCACTGATTCCAGGGGCCCCTGCAAATACCAAAATCCGTGGATGCTCAAGTCCTTTATATAACATGGCATAGTTCACTGGATACAGTCGACCCTCTGCGTCCTCGGATTCAACAAACCCCAGATCAAAATTTAATCTGCTGTCCATGCTTGGTTGAATCCCCTAATGCAAAGCCCGTGAAAAGGGAGCGCCGACTGTACATTTGTTGAAAAGAATCCGTGTATAAGTGGACCCAGGCAGTTCAAACTCCACGCTGTTCAAGGGTCAACTGTAACTGGCTCACTTAGGGCTGGGAGAACAGCTAAAAAGCAACTGACAGTGACGGGAATCGGATAAGTTGGTGTCATTGGCCCAGGCTTTTATTTATTCTATATGTGGTAAATAAAGTCGCTTTATTACCTACCATGTGGGAGATTCTATCTATCTATCTATCTATCTATCTATCTATCTATCTATCTAGTGACTATGAGCACACAGTTTGTTCATTCCGACTTGACCTGGCTTTGCCCGTGAATCATGTGTTTATGGTCAGCTCCAACTGTTCTTTCTGGTTCCATTTTCCCTTTTGCTCTTGGCCCAGACATTTCTGATGGGCGAGGGAGTAAGTCCCTCTCTGCCTGGATTATTTTCATTCATTCCCCAAAAATACATATTGTTTCCCTACCATGTGTCAGGCACTGTTCTAGGCATTTAGGATACATTTGTGAACAACATAGAGAAAGATCCCTGTGGGGGTGGGGTCAGGGGAAGATAGATAATAGGCAATAAACATAAGTATATACATTACATAGTATGTTAGGAGATAATAAATGCTATGGGGACAAAAACGAACAAGGTTGTGCAAGTTAAGGGTGATCAAGAGTGTCAGGGTGTAGGGAAAGGGCAAGTTTCAGTATTAAACAGGGTGGTCAAATGGGTCTCATTGAAAACGTGGGAATCTAAAGACTGAAGGAATGAGAAGGTTGGCAAGTAGATTTCTGGGGCAAGAGCGTTCAGGTAGAGGGTAGAGCTAGAGCAGAGACCTCACTGTGGGAACACGCCTAGTGTGTTTGAATAACATCAAGGAGGCTGGACTCCCAGAATGAGTGAGGAAGGGAGTATCCAAAGAGGAAGACAGGGAATTCCCTGGCGGTGCAGTGATTAGGACTCTGTGCTTCCACTGCTGGGGGCCCGAGTTCGATCCCTGGTCAGGGAACTAAGATCCCGCAAGTCAGGTGGCGTGGCCAAAATTTTAAAAAATAAATAAATAAATAAAAGAAAATAATCCAAAGAGGCAGCCAGGGAGGTGTGTGGTGGGAAGAGTGGGCAGATAATGGAGGAACTCTTTGGCCATTGTAAAGACTTCCATTTTTACACTGAGAGAAATGGGGAGTTATTAAAGAGTAACCCTAAAAGAAATGGGGGACAGGGGGCTTTAGAAGTTTTGATTAGAGAGTGATGTGGTCTAAAGTATATTTTAAAAGGATCACTCTTGGGGATTCCCGGGAGGTCCAGAGGTTAGGACTCCGCACTTCCATTGCAGGGGGCATGGGTTTGATCCCTGGTCGGGGTACTAAGATCCTACAAGCCCCAAGGTGCAGCCAAAAAAAAAAAAAAAAAAAGATCACTCTGGCTTCTGTGTTGAAGGCCAGAGTAGAAGCAGGGAGACTTTTGATAGGAGGACACAGCAGTATTCCAGGTGAGAGATGACGGTGGCTTTGACTAGGACAGCAGCCATAAAGGAGGTGAGAAGTGGGTGGATTCCAGATGCATTCTGTTGGTAGAGTTAATTCCTGTCAGATCTGATGTGCATGTGAGAGGAAGACAAGAGTCAAGGATAACTCAGTGTTTGGGCCTGAGCCACTGGAAGAATAGAGTTGCCATCAACTGTGATAAGAAAGACTGCAGGTAGATCAAGTTTGGGGAGCATCTCAAGAGTTTAGTTTTGGACATCTTGAGTTTGGAGATGTGGGGCAGACAGTCGGATATATGAGTCTAGAGTTCAGGGCAGAGGTCTGGACTAGGTATAAATGTGGGTCATGGGTGCATAGATTGTATTTAAAACCACATATCTAGATGAGATCATCAAAAGAGGTAGATAAGGAAGAGCAGAGGACTGAGGTCTGAGCCCTGCGCACGTCAACACTTAGAGGTCAGGGAAAAGAGGCAGAGCCAGGAAAAGAGACCAAGAAGGTGGGAGCAGTGAGAGGGGAGGAAAACCAAGAGAGTGAGGTGTTCTGGAAGTCCAGGGAAGAATGTGCATCAAGGAGGAGGATGTGGTTGATTATATCAGATGTTATTAATCAATAAGACGAGAACTGAGAAGTGACCACTGGATTTATTAAGCCATGGTAACTTGGACCAGAATAATTTCTGTGGAGCACTGAGGGATATAGGCCTGATTTGGGGTTGGTTTAAGAGAGGACTGGAGGAGAGAAACCGGACATAGCAAGTACAGATGACTCTTCTGAGGAATTTGCTCTAAAGGGGAGCAAACAAATGGGAGAGAGGCTGCCAAGGGAAGTACAGTCATTAAAAGGCTTTTTTTTTTTTTTTAAGATGTGGGAAATAATAGCATGTTTGTGTGCTGATGGAAAGAATCCAGCAGAGAGTAATAATTTGGTGTAGGAAGAATTGCTGAGTAATATCCGTGAGTAGGTGAGAGGGACTGGGTTGCCTGCGCAAGTGGAGGAATTTGCTTTTGATGGATGGGTCACCTCTGACAGTAGGTGGAAAGGCAAAGTGTGAAGATGCAACTGCTGGACAGGGGATGAATGTGACGGTGGGAATCTGCAGATTTCTCCTCGTGTTGCTTCTATTTTCCCAGTGAAAAAAGAATCCAATTAGATTCTTTTAGAATTCAGCTGAGGGTGAGAATGGGAAGGGAATATTAAGGGTTTGAGAAGAGAAAAGAAGGTACAGAACTGTCACCCAGGAGCACAGGTGAGTGAACGGATCAGGGAAACATAAGTGTGACTGTTGGGCAGCATTAAGGGCCCACTTACGTTTCATCAGCATGAACTTAAAATGAGGTCAAGCAGTGGGGCTGTGTGTATTTCTCTGGCTAGGCATGGCTATGAAATTTACACTGGGTCAGGAGGGGATTAAGAACATCAAAGGGGTGGGCAACAGTGAAGGGTATAGTGGGATCAACATATTGGAGGCTCTGGTGGGGTCAGAGGATGGCTGGGATCAAGCAAGGAGGTGAGCTGGAAAGATAGGGGGAGGCACGAAATTGAGATCATGGAGGGACTGCAGTTGTGTGTAATCACAGCTATGGGTTGAGGGGAGGGAAAATCACTGGAGGAGAGAAATTCAAGAGACTGAGAGGCTGGGGTATTGGAAGCGTCATCTACTCTATACCGAACCGCCAGGAGTTAAGACAGTGTTGGTGAGAGTGACAGTGAACCAAGACCTAGAATGTTTGCAAAATAATGCCTGGGGGTCAGGAGAAGACAGCAGTGATTGGTATAATTTGATAACACGAAATTCAACGTGGTGTGCAAGGGAATACTTCTAAAGGTGACGATGACCAGTAAGGAGGACACCTATCTCACCTCCAGGTCTAGGGACGGGGGCTGTGAGAGAACAAAATCAGGCCCTGCTGGAGAAGGCTGTGAGGGCAGCAGTGAACTCAGGGGAGAGCTGGGTGTCCCACAGGGACAGAAGTGAAGAGGATGCTCAGACAACAGGTTGAGGATAAAGGAGAGTTTGCTAATCACGGATTATGAACTCCAGAGGTCACGGAGGAAGAGTTTCAGGACTTGGGGAGGGTGGGAGAGGCCACAGAATAGGGGAAAGACAGGGCCTCTGGGAGCCAGGGAGATTTTAGGACTGACATGAACAGGAACGAGGACACAATGCACAGATGATGGCGGCAAGACTGAGTGCTGGGATTTCAGGGGCTCCTGATGATGCAGCAGGGGAGAGGAGGCTCTCTGAATAGAGTGTGTCCCTGCCCCAGCCTGCCGACTCCCCGAAGGGGCCTCTCCTACCCCTTTGCTGCTAATTTGTTCTTTTCCAAAGGCTTCACCTAGCAGTTGTGACAATTCTGATGGCCATGTTATCCACTCACTGGTTTTGAAAGAAGTTGAATAGATTTTCCTGTCTCTGATAACTGTATTTCCTGTTTCTCTAAAAGCCCTAAAAGTACTTCATCACATTCACGCCCTCCACACCCCAGAGTACACATCTGGGGCTCTGTTGACACACTTGTCCCATGGACTACTGCCAAAAAGGTCTGAGTTCAAATATTCACGGGGCTGAAACTCTCCCAGATGAGCATTTGGAGAAGGCTGAGGTTGCCCCGAGGACTATCATACAGTCCGTCAAAGCCCATCTCATCCCTTCTTACGTCTCCATACAAAACCTTTTCACCTCTCTGCGTGCACGATAAACTGCTTTGGCAGAAAAGCTTCCAAGTTCGGGGAAGATGGTTCTCCCTCATGTGGTCCACGCTTCAGAGAACACAGCTGCTCACCATCTTGGTGAATGAGGTCGTGCTTCAGTTCCTGGCTGCTCAAACCCCTCGTCTTCATTCAGCTCCTCCTCTGGGCTCAGCTCTGTCCTGGTTGAAAGCTCAGCCCCATTCCTTTGGGCTCACTCATAGCCTGAGTCGGCAGCCCTCTAATCACCTCCAGGGTTTGCTTCTGGACATTCCCCAAGGCACTTCCAGAAGCAGGTTTGGGAAAGGCTGCCTAGGATGCTAATAAAAGAGTGGTGTTTGCTAAGTTAAATGAAAGGATGAGCTCCTGGGAAACAGGTGATGTTCTGACATCCATGTCAGCTGTTCGAACACCAATTTCTCATCTTGTGGTCTTCTGGGAACTCAGAAATCTGCTCTGTTCTGGTATGGTCTGACGCTTTGTTTGGGGGAACCCCACTTTCTCTCCTACCCTCACTTTAACTTACCTCAACTATTCTACCTTAACCAGCTCTCCAGAAAAGATAGCCAAAGTGGAATGTGACTAGTTAGACTCAACAGTTACCTCTTTAGTGAATAATTGCATTTTAGTGAGGAAGATGGGGGTCAGCAAATTCAAATGTCAATGGGCCAAGCAGGAGGGTGGGATGGCTGGGACTGGGGTGGACCACAGAGTACATGTCAGTGTGGCCAGCTCTTAAAGACTGGGGGGCGGGGGGGAGAAGCTAAAAAAATCCAGATATTTCTGCACAATCTTCCAATTTTAAACGTTTTTTAACGTAATTAACTCAACTTTTTAAAAATGCTAGGAAAGCCAGACAAAATATATCTTTGGGTCGCCTTGGCCCATGGCCCAAGGTGAGATAGCAGTGACCTGTGTAAATTTAAGCACACATCTGGTTCTGTGTTAAGCACAATGGTTCTTTTATGGTTGATTTTTAGTAAGGAGGCCACTTGGGGTTCCCTGTGGTCCTGAAATCACACAGGAAGGGCTGACCTTGGTGACTGCATCCAGTCCATTCAGAGTCCTCCTCTTACGGAGGGTTTGTTCCTCTATACACTGGGGTCTTAGGGTAGGTTGCCTGGCCCCCTCAGGAATGCCATCAAGTTCAATGAGGCTGCAATCACTCGGGTCTACTAGAGGCAGGCAGGTGTTACAGCAATGTCTTCCTCACTGTTAAAGACAGCTGAAGGCTGAAGTGGAGTCATGCCAATCTCTGGTCAGAGAGACCATCAGAGCTCATTACCCTACAGCAGAGGTTCCACAGGTAACCACTGGAGTCAGATCCCTGAGTTCGAAACTCTTCTCTACTAGTTAATTAGCCTCTCTGACCTCAGTTTTCTCATCTGTAAAATGGGGAATTAATAGTACATTCTAAGCAGGATGAGCTGACCAAGTGCTTCCTTAGCACAGCAACTCGAGAGTAAGCGCCCACATTGGAAGAGGAGTGTGACTTCATTTTTTAAACCAGGGCTTTATTTAGCATTTAGTTAAAGCTTATTTTTACAGACACATTTGAAAACTGGTGGTTCAGATCTGTTTCACTCATTATCTCCAAACCTGCCTTGCTCTTTGCCACCCTCTCCTGGAGCCATCAGATGTCCGAGTTTCCTGGGAATAATTTTTGTGTCTGAATCCCTTAGCCCAGGTGGTGGAACTTCATTAACCTTTTTCCCAGAGCAGTCTTATTGTGTCCAACAGGCTCCTTCTCAGGGAGCTGCACCCCATAAAGTCCCAGGCTCAGGAGACTGGCTCAGAAAGCCGCACCAAGCTCCTGGGAACCAGCCTGCTGGGACAGCAACTCTCTTTTCCAGCGGAGAGATATCCCCTCTTTACATGTGTGTACTCCCAGCTTCTTTTTTCCCCTCTTTTAGATTTACTCTGCCTGCAGCCTGTTCCCCACCGTCATCCGTCCCCACCTCCACCAAAACGAAAAGCGCCATCAAAAATTTAGAATCAAATTTTACATTTAAAAATGTGATTTCGTTCGTTGCCTTCTAACCTAAGGCAGCATCCCCCATCCATCTTGAAAGAGAAGTCAGCATTTCAGGAAGACTGGCCACAGCCTTTAAAAAATACCAGGGGAGGGAGGAAACGGTCTGCGATTGGGAGTTCGGGAGGTGTATCCAGAGTGGAGAGAAAACCCTCAGGTTAGGCACTCAGGGGCTCTCGGGCGAGGAAAAGGAAGCCAGGCCTCTGCTACGGATGGAGCCCGCCCCTCCCAAGTCGGAGAGCAGCCTGCAGCGCAGCGATGGCCGGAAGTGCTGGGCTCAGAGGAGGGTGGGTGGGGACGGGCTGCCCGGGAGCTGTGTCTCCCCGCTCGCCGGACTGGGATATTTATAGCACCTGTGTTTCTGGACCTGTCTCCACCTGGATTTATGCGGTCTGTGGCTGTAGCGTGTGTGTGGGGGGGGGGGAACGAGGGGAGCACGTCTTGCTGCAAGGGCTGATTCTCGGCCTTGGCGCTCTGGCTGGAATGGAAGTTTCAAAATCAAAACAAGGAGCCATCTGGGGGAACACCGCGGCAGAGCGGCTCTTCGGTGCTGCGTCTGCAAAGCAGTCGGCGGTTAGGCCCGGTGAAACCCGGGGCTTTCCAACTCCGCTCAGTGTCACATTTACCGCAGTCGTGGGCGGGGGTGGGCGGCAGGGGAAGTGGATCCCACCCACCCAGTCGCCTAGGGGCTCTGGCTTTCCCTTTCTCGCTGCTCTAGCGCAGAGTTAAAGCTGAAAGAATGTTCGTTCTCCCGGGGGCTGGGGGTGGAGGATCTGCGCTTTGTAAGAGGAGCCCAGAGAGCACGTGGTGGCCCAGCGTCTGTTGAGACCGGCATGTGGAGTCCACGTCTGCGGACCTACCATCCCAGTCCGCACCCTCAACTTCCACTAATCGCTACGTGCCTGGTTGATGTCAGACGGCGATGACATCATTTAAAAAAATGAAATAACTGTCCCTTAGGTTTTTCAAGAACCTAGCGGGCAGATAATCCCGAGGGAGAGCCTACCGCCGGTCCTTGAGGCGGCCGTCTTCAGTGCCTACCTGTAAAGCCGCCCCGACTGCTCCACCAAGAATTAGTATGGAGAAGAGGCCCTGGGCAGGGTGGGCGGAAGATCCAGGAGAGCTGAGGACAGCAGCGATACCTAGAGAAACGAAAACATCGTTGACATTGCTCCAGCACGTTCCCTTTCTCATTTAACCTCAGGGCGGCACAAATGAGGTAGCACTATTGTCAGGGTGCCCATTTCACAGGTGGAGAAACTGACGCTTAGAAAGGCTAAGGGACGTACCCCAAGGTGACGTAGCAAAGGCCACCTTCAGTTTCAAACTGAGATTCGGGGGACCCGCGGGTTAGGGTGCGCGGCGAGGACGGAGGAGGCAGGCGGGCGTGGGGCGGGAGCGATTACGCCGGCTGCGGCCGCGCGGGGAGGAGCCGGGGTCCCAGCAGCGCCGCGCCGACCCGGGGCAGCTCCAGGGCCGGTTTGGTCGCCCGGGACGAGGGGCGGCCAGCCGTGAATCTGGAGCGGGACGGCGAGGCCGGGGCAGTTGCCAGACGCTGCTGGTGACGGGCCCGCGCCGCCGGCCCCCACCTCCGGGCCGCGCTGCGGTCGGGCAGCGAGCAGGCCACATACCGCGCGGCGCAGAGGAAATGGCTGGAATTCCTCCCGCGGCGCCTCCCTCGGGCCTTGGGGAGGGCGCGGCGCTGGCGAGGGCTGCCCCGGCTCCCAGCTCCGGGCACGGAAGGGGACCCCTTCCCTGGGAGGGCCGCCACCACTCACTGCGAAAGGGCACAAGGTCGGCCCCCGCAGAGACTCCCCGGCCCTGCCCAGTCTCCTGCCCCCTTAACCTGTCTCGGGCCCAGATTGTCTGGGCCGGGCATCTGGGGAGCGGTCCTGCACCCCTACTCAATCCCCTGCTGATCAGCCCTCAGGCCCCAGCAACCGGGATGGTGCACAAAGCGCACAGCATGCGAGGGGCCTAGCTGAGCGCGACGCTGAAGCTCCAGGCAGTGAGGACTCTGCAAGTCCCAGACTACGCTTTTGGAAAGCCCTGGCCACTGATATCTGCGAATGTTCTAGGCTATTTAAATGTTTGTTAAATGAATGCATGAGAATTGGGTAGGCACGGTACAAACGGAAGCAGAGACCAAAGGAAAAGCAGGCCAAATGTAGATCCTGCTAGAAAGCGTTCATCTTTGCTTCCCGCTTAGGCAAAGAACCTGCTACCTAGGTCTGTCCTGCTCTCTCTCACCTGCCAACCCAAGGCAAGCACAGCCCAGAGGGCCTGGCACCAAGATGACTTTGACCTTCACACCTTGAGCCTAATCTTAATCTCAAGGCCCATGCTCAACTCTGTTACCCCGGCTTTAGGCTCTGGTGCCTTTTTGCATATCCCACCCTTCCCTGGCTCCACCTCCAATACTTCCCTGGCTGGCCCTCTTCCTTTCTCCACAGAGGGCTCAGGAGGGTCTGATTCCACATGAAGTGGGCTCTCCTCCCATTCCAGATGGGACTGGGGCGCAGAAGGTGGGGCCCCGGGCCAAGGCTGGGGGCGGGGATGGCGTGGCTGTGTCTGCCATCCCGATGGTTTCAAGCCTGGGAGCAGGGCAGAGACAGGGTTTCCCAAATTAATCCACATCTGAGTCCAGGTTATCAGCTTAAATTTCTACCCTCTCTAGGGGCTTCTGAGCAGCAGACTAACCCTGGGGAGGGACTTCTCCTGCAAGGCCCCAGGAAGCATTAGGAGGCCAGAGGCAGGTCTGTCCTAATGCACTTGTCTCTCCTCGACCAGGTCAAGGCCGGGGCGGGGTGGGGGGGGGGGGGGGGGGGGGGCAGGGAGTGAGGTGTCATTGTCAAGACCGCCCCTGGACGCTGGCCCACGAGGAGCAGGCCCAGGAGGCCTTGGCGGACCTTCCATACAGATGCAGGCAGACAAAAACACAGACGGCTCACAGTGACAGTCTTGCTTCTGGGAATTTTGGAAATGAAAACGCGTACATTTTTCACAGAAAAAGGAACAGATTTTGGCATCTTCGCTCCAGAAACAGGAACTGACCAAGACAGTGGCCTCTGATAATCACTTCCTCATCTCAGGGCTCAGAAGCTGGTGGGGAATCCCTCAGCTCTTCTGTTTTCTCCCCAGTGTTCTGTGGGTAGGAGCCCGAGGGTTTTAGGGGAGAGAAAGGAAGGGAAAGGAGAAAGGCATAGCAGAGAGGAGGGAGGCAAGGAGGGGAGATATTTTTAAAGTGTGCTCTTGAGGATTGAGGAGGCCGGGAGCCAGATGGGGATGGGGTCGGGGCCAGAGGGCACCTAACGGGAGCTCAGTGTAGCTGTTATTTCCATCTCCTCCTGGAAAGAGCGCCCGTATTCTGTGTCCCTCAGAGTTCACGGTTCTGTGGACCTGTGCCTCATAGTGAAGTACGGCAAACACACTTAGCCATATTACCTCCTATGCATTTATTGAACACCTACTGCATGTCCACAGGTTGCTAGGTACTGAGTGGATAAGAGACAGATTTCTCCCTTGCAGAGCTTAGAGTTGAGTAGAAGGAATTGGCATTCCAAAAATAAAGCATGAAGGTAATGGAGCTGAAAATAATTGCCAAGAGAGGAGAAAGAGGTCAGATCAGGTTGGGGTGGAATATGAAAGGCCTTAGGAAGAGGTCACATTTGAAGTGGGCCTTGAGAGGTAGATGGGCATTTGCCAGGTGGAAATGGGGAAGGAGGCCCTTCCAGGGCAGAGGAAGTGCATCAGCATAGGTGCGGGGGAGGGAAAGTGTGAGCACATCCAGGACACTAAGAATGTAGGGCAAAAGCGGGTGCAAAGGAATAATGGGAGAAACAGCTGGAGCAGGAACTGGTCCACTTTGCAGACAGTCCTGAGTGCCAGGCTGAGGTATGTGGGATTCCTCAGAGGGCCATGAGGCGGCCTTGACTGGCAATGGCCTGACAAATGCAGCACCACGTGCTGCTGGCAGCTCAGAGAAAGGAGTGAGGCAATGGGGAGGACGGCGGAGAGATGGGGAAGCAGCCAGACCCATCTGTGATAACTCAGCCAGACCATTAAAGTGTTTTATAGTCCAGGCCCCTGCTATGTGCAGCTGACCTGAAATTGGTCCCACTGAGTAGATCTTTGTTGGTTCAAGGTTTTTGCTGCAAAACTCTGAGCCTCAGTTCTCCTATGGGAGCAAAGTGAAGGTGGTACCTATGTTCTTGTGTGGAATGACCAGAGTGGTAGTCCCTGTGGGCAATCAGAGACCTTCCTCTCCTAAACAGGCTGATGGGGGAGTGGGGTACCTGCGCCGGCATGGAGAGCGTGAGTGGGAGAAATCACAGATGTGGGCTCTGAAAAGAGTGAGACCTTGGGGTAGCCCAGATAGGGGAGAGAGAGAGCCAGTCTCCTGAGGCAGCCAGGGTGGGAAGGGGTTGGGGAGGAAGTTCCAGGATCCAGAAGGTCTCTGAATAGACCCAGCGGGACCCTCTTCCAGCTCTGTGCCTCTGTCCCTAACAGAGCACTTCTCACGTGGGGCAGGAAGGAACTTTCTCAGCAATAGGCAGAGAGTGTTTATGGGTTGTAATTATTATTATTATTAAACAATTTAAAAACAAAATTTATTTTGAAATAATTTCAAACTTAAAGAAAAGTTGCAAGAACAGTATAAACAACTCACTTAGCTCCTTAAATCAGATTCTACAATCATTAACATTTACCCTTTCCTTCCTTCCCGGCCATTATCGTTATTTCTTTTCTGTTCAATCTGAGAGCAAGTTGCAGACGTGATGCCATTCCACCCCTAAATATTTCTTCAAAAGCAAGTACACTGTTCTATAACCTGTGTGCAACCCATTCAGATTTCCAGATCCCATTCAAATTTTGCCCACTGTCCAATGTCTCCTTTTCTTTTCTAGGCCAGGATCCAAATCCAGATCGTGCATATAATAAATTTTTGAAAAATAAACTTTATTTCTCTTCCTGGATTGTAAGCTCCTAGAGAGCAGAGGTGGTGTTTCCCACAGGTCTTAGTACTTACTAGGCACTAAATAAAAGCCGAAGGTAAAGGATCGGGATCAGATGCCACATTATAAGGAGGGGAAGCCCCATGGGTGACAGCAATGGCTGAGTTTACTGTTTTGTCACACATCCCCCTCCGGATCTTCTATGACTTCTATGAGTGTGACTGAAATCCCACTTCCTGTGGGGTCTTTACTGGGGGGCCACCTTCTCTATACTTCTTTCCCTGGCTCCCCCCCATCTCCCACTTCTCCCATGGGGCATGTTAGCATTTCATGAATACACATTTAAGGAGGATTTCAATTTGTCAGGTTTTGTGCCCGGTATGAGAATACAGTGGTGAATAATGCTAACGATGGAAACAGCTAAACGAATCCCCAGCCCCTACAAGGGCCTGAGGATCTCTCCATGGCCTCATAGGGTCTGAGATGGCTACTTGGCTGGAACAGGCAGAATTGTCCTTGCTAGTTATGATTTTGTGGCGCCACCTGCTGGCCATATGTAAACACATGGACACAGTTACGTGTAAAAGTGTACGCACAAAGAAATTGACTATTAAAACAGAGAGGGAGACACACAAAAGTATGTACACACTGTGAAACATACGCATGTTTGCAAACAGGCACACATACATGGAAACACAGACATATAATCACTTACAGAAATTCAAGATCTAGCACAGTACCGTATCTCTGGTAGGAGTCCAATAAATATTTGCTAGTGTGTAAAAAAACCCCACCAAATTCTTTAGATCAGTTTTCTTTCAGGCTTATTTTTCACCACCTTTTCTAGCCAGTAAGGTAAGAACGCTCCACGGTCACTTGCTCCCTGCCCACATTCCTTCCCTCCATCCTATTCTTCCTTTTTTAAAATATTTTTTATTGAAGCATAGTTGATTTATAATGTTTCAGGTGTACAGCGAAATGATTCCGTTATACATATATATCTATTCCTTTTCAGATTCTTTTCCATTATAGATTATTACAAGATATTGAATATAGTTCCCTGTGCTATACAGTAGGTCCTTGTTGTTTATTTATTTTATATATGATAGTCTGTATCTATTAACCCCAAATTGCAAATTTATCCCTCTCCTCCTTTCCACTTTGGTAACCTTAAGTTTGTTTTCTATTTCTGTGAGTCTATTTCTGTTTTGTAAATAAGTTCATTTGTATCATTTTTTTAGATTCCACATATAAGTGATATCATACGATATTTGCCTTTTTCTTTCTGATTTACTTCACTTAGTATGATAATCTCTAGGCCCATCCATGTTGCTGCAAATGGCATTCTTTCATTCCTTTTTACGGCTGAGTAATATTCCATTGTGTGTGTATATATATTTCTCCGGCTATATGCCCGGGGGTGGGATTGCTAGATCATATGGTAACTCTATCATCCTATTAATTCATTAAAACCAAATTCAAATGCCATCTTCTCCCTTATCTCTCCAGCTAAGATAATGACTTCCTCTTCTGAACTTTCATAACTTTATGATATTTATCATTTTACTAATTTGCATTTTAGCTATTTGAGGATATGTGTTTTCTCCCTTTCTAGTCTGTAATCTCCTCAAGGGTAGCATTTGTGTTTGATTCATGTCCGTGTTCCCCCATAGTACCTGGCACATTGCCTTGCACAAAGTTGGGGCTCAGTAAGTATTTGCTGAATGAATGAATAAATGATACAGTCACAGACACAGAGAAAAACAAAGATAATGCACAGAAATGCACATCTATCTACGTGA